AGTCTGGTGTCTGATGAAGGGGAGACTATGGTGGATGACTTGTCTCACTCTCGTCACTGTTGCAGTCCAGGTAACTCTTGTGTAATCTGCCTAAAATTAACCTATTTTAATGAACAGTTTATATTCGGTTAAAAACGAATTATTGGAATCTATGCACAAAATAGCAGAATTAGTTCCTGCTCCATATGATGATGTTATATCTTATACCAAATACAACACCCAATTTCCCGTGTTCCCACATCGTGTATTTACAAGGGTCCCTAAGTTCCCCCCCCCCTTATAACATACTTGTTTCCCCCTGTAATCTACCTTATCCATAATTACTATCGCATTTACTCTGTTTTCGTAAGGTGAAGTCCAGGATCTTTCCTTAATTTATGTTATAACTTAATTCATTGTTATAACTTAACAAATCTCTGATGACAGTTGTTGCAGAAGTCTGAGTAAGTCTCAGGCTTCACCTTACGAAGGTAAAGTAAATGCGATAGTAAATATGGACAAGGTAGATTATAGGGGACAAATGAACATTAGGAGAGAAGGAAACTCACGAGTCTCTTAACCACGGTAATTAGAGGAAACGTTTCGCCCCTCGAGTGGCTTCTTCAGTCCTGGAGAAGCCAATCGGGACGAAACGTTTCCTTTAATGGATATCCTAAACTGTACATAAGTGTCTTTGTCCATACCTTAACCATACTGTGTGCGTCTTAACTTCAGTCCGTGAATCTTAACCCCATTTGCAGTGTATTATCCTCATGTGTGTCTTCACCCCACTACCTGTGTTCCCACTACCTGTCTTCCCCACTACCTGTGTTCCCCACTACCTGTGATTTAGCCCAACAAACGACATTCTCTCTTAACGCTTTTGTTCTTCAGAGCGAGGCCGAGGATCAAGAAAAGCGCCTGGCAGGAGGGTCACAAGCAGATGAAACTGAATTAGGGGTGAGAGAGGGGGGCGAGGCCCCCAGAGAGGCCAGGTCTCCCCCTTCCCTGACGTCCCTGATGCTGCCTTCCTTAAGGACTGGCCGGGCATCCTTCTGGGCTATGCGTGGCAAGCGTCCAACCGAGGAGGGTGCTCAATCTTGGCTTCCCTTTGACGGCGACGCTGAAGTGGCTGTAGGGACAACCGATGGCTCCTACTGGGTACCTAATACCCAGAACGTCCCACATCATTACCTGCCCTTCTACTGGGGATCCGAGCCGAACCCGTGGGGAGAGACGCCCCTCACACGGTGGTCACAGACAAGCCTGAACGATGACTCTCAAGAACTCTCCTCGTACACCTTTCAACCCCTCCCCTACACCCCACAGATTTCCCCTGACACACCCCTACTCTCCCCCCACACTGGAGGAAAGAGACAAGATGGCGGCCCCTTCTGGATCACTCGAGGCAAGCGAGCGACGGAAAATAACAGATATTGGGGTAACAATCCTTGGATAACTGGTAAAAACGTACAAGAGGACGATAACGAGGTCATGGCCTCATACTCGAACACCGATGACATGCTCTTTGGAAAGCAAGAGGGTGGAGGACCCTTCTGGATTAACCGGAACAAGAAGCCATATGTGGATACCCTAGAGGAAGAGGCATCTCCTCTGAGGAACCAAGTGAGCGAGGCATCACGGGACAAGAACTTCTGGGTGGCCAGAGGTAAGAAGGATGACCCAGGAACACCTCCATTCTGGATTTCCAGGGGCAAACGAAACGACGAGAACGTCACATCATTCTGGATTGCTAGAGGCAAAAAGAACGATGAAGTCCCACCTTTCTGGATAGCCAGAGGCAAGAAAGTAGTAGTTCATCCATTTTGGGTAGCCAGAGGCAAGAAAGAGGTTAATCCATTCTGGGTAACAAGAGGCAAGGAAGAAGCAGCAGCTCGTCCATTTTGGATAGCAAGAGGCAAGAAAGAAGTCCAGCCATTCTGGGTAGCAAGAGGCAAGAAAGAGGAAGAATCTCACCCGTTTTGGGTAGCCAGAGGCAAAAAAGGAGAAACTAATCCATTTTGGGTCTCAAGAGGGAAGAAAGATGGCGAGACTCATCCATTTTTCTTATCAAATGGGAAGAAACAGGACAAAGCACATCCATTCTGGGTAGCAAGAGGTAAAAAACTAGTCAATTACCCTTACTGGGTGGCGAGAGGGAAGAAATCAGTCTCTTCCCCGTACTGGGAGTCCCAAGGAGGTAGAGAGGACCCCTGGGAGTCCTCTGAGGAGACCCCTGTGAGTTACCTGCTACATACACTGCTACAACAGAACGACACTCTGTTGGAGGAGCCCCGAAGTAAGAGGGCCGCCAGGCAGGAAGGTGACTCCCTCACAGAGGAATCCACAGCTCTCAGCAGCTAGATATGTGCAACAATATGTATTATTTAGGGGATCAGACACATACGTAAACAATCCTCCAGCCACTGCTTCCTCTTAGTTCATGTGTCTGTGAGGGATCGAGATCCTCTTACGATGCCAGACCCATGAATTCTGTCAATACATCATGAGAATCCCTATTGTCTTGGGGATCTCTATGAATCTGTCACCACACCACGGAAATCCCTAGGGACCTGTTGCATTGCTGAGGACATCCCTAGGTACCTACCGCTATATCGCGGAAATATCCAAGAACCTGTGGCTATCCTGAGATAATGGAAGGTCCTGGTTGCATGTGGAAGGACGACCTGGTAGCTAGGTATCCCTCCAGTAAGATGTATGGGACACAGATGTTGGATCTCAGATTTAAAATTCCGAGCATCGATAAAAAATAAACACCATCACGTGATCATGTTTTTAATTTTCCAACGAGAGAGAGAGAGAGAGAGAGAGAGAGGAGAGAGAGAGAGAGAGAGAGAGAGAGAGAGAGAGAGAGAGAGAGAGTATATGGAAAAGATAGACAGAGGACTGGGTTTGCACCAAAGCTAGCAGCATAGGGCTGTCTATTATTATGATCACTGAGGACTACATAGGTCATTCTTATCACATGGTTGAGGCTACTGCTGCCGTCAGATAATAGTAACAAAACGACACACCATAGTGAAACAAAATTACCGCAGAAATTTTATATGAAGGACAGACGTGGATGGGAAGTGTGGTTACTGTTGCTTCTAAATACTGCCCTCCAGGACTAACTTCTGAGCCTCGAGGCTCGACTTTTCAGCCTCTAGGTTCATCTTCTGAGTATCGAGGCTCAAAAATAGGTGGGTGAGCCTACCCACCTACTTACCTGTCCAGCCAGTCATGGCAGAGCAGCAACGAGGGTGAGAGAAGGAACTCACAGTAGGTTCTCAGTTAACCCTTAAACTGTCCAAGCAGATCTATGTTCACATGCGTAGTGCTCCAAACGTAGATCTACGTTTGGACAGTTTAAGGGTTAAACGCCTTCAGGTAAGATAAGAGATTTCGTTCGGATTTTTAACCCCGGAGGGTTAGCCACCCAGGATAACCCAAGAAAGTCAGTGCGTCATCGAGGACTGTCTAACTTATTTCCATTGGGGTCCTTAATCTTGTCCCCCAGGATGCGACCCACACCAGTCGACTAACACCCAGGTACCTATTTGCTGCTAGGTGAACAGGACAACAGGTGTAAGGAAACGTGTCGAATGTTTCCACCCGCAGGGAATCGAACCCGGGCCCTCCGTGTGTGAAGCGAGAGCTTTAGCCACCAGGCCACCGGGCGTTTAGTCTCTGAGAGATTAAAACAACACTGAAGATGGAAGTCTGTATTAGGAGTGCGTGAAAAAAGACACGTACGTACATTTTAAGGCATTTATGTCCTGAACTGCATACCTGGAGAAGGTTTCGGGGGTCAACGCCCCCGCGGCCCGCTCTGAGACCAAGCCTCGTGGTGGATCGTAGTCTGATTAACCAGGCTGTTACTGCTGGCAGCACGCAAACTGAAGTACGAACCACAGTCCGGCTGGTCAGGTACTGACTTTAGGTGCCTGTCCAGCGCCTTCTTGAAGACAGCCAGGGGTCTCGAAGACACCTAGGGGTCTTGAAGATACCCAGGGGTCTCGAAGACACCTAGGGGTCTTGAAGATACCCAGGGGTCTTGAAGATACCCAGGAGTCTTGAAGATACCCAGGAGTCTTGAAGATACCCAGGAGTCTTGAAGATACCCAGGAGTCTTGAAGATACCCAGGAGTCTTGAAGATACCCAGGAGTCTTGAAGATACCCAGGAGTCTTGAAGATACCCAGGAGTCTTGAAGATACCCAGGAGTCTTGAAGATACCCAGGAGTCTTGAAGATACCCAGGAGTCTTGAAGATACCCAGGAGTCTTGAAGATACCCAGGAGTCTTGAAGATACCCAGGAGTCTTGAAGATACCCAGGAGTCTTGAAGATACCCAGGAGTCTTGAAGATACCCAGGAGTCTTGAAGATACCCAGGAGTCTTGAAGATACCCAGGAGTCTTGAAGATACCCAGGAGTCTTGAAGATACCCAGGGTCTTGAAGATTCCCAGGGGTCTTGAAGATACCCAGGAGTCTTGAAGATACCCAGGAGTCTTGAAGATACCCAGGAGTCTTGAAGATACCCAGGAGTCTTGAAGATACCCAGGAGTCTTGAAGATACCCAGGATCTTGAAGATACCCAGGGTCTTGAAGATACCCAGGAGTCTTGAAGATACCCAGGAGTCTTGAAGATACCCAGGAGTCTTGAAGATACCCAGGAGTCTTGAAGATACCCAGGGTCTTGAAGATACCCAGGAGTCTTGAAGATACCCAGGAGTCTTGAAGATACCCAGGAGTCTTGAAGATACCCAGGAGTCTTGAAGATACCCAGGAGTCTTGAAGATACCCAGGAGTCTTGAAGATACCCAGGAGTCTTGAAGATACCCAGGAGTCTTGAAGATACCCAGGAGTCTTGAAGATACCCAGTCTTGAAGATTCCCAGGGGTCTTGAAGACACCCAGGAGTCTTGAAGATACCCAGGGGTCTTGAAGATACCCAGGAGTCTTGAAGATACCCAGGAGTCTTGAAGATACCCAGGAGTCTTGAAGATACCCAGGAGTCTTGAAGATACCCAGGAGTCTTGAAGATCCCAGGAGTCTTGAAGATACCCAGTCTTGAAGATTCCCAGGGGTCTTGAAGACACTCAGGAGTCTTGAAGATACCCAGGAGTCTTGAAGATTCCCAGGGGTCTTGAAGACGCCCAGGGGCCTTGAAGACACCCAGGGGTCTTGAAGATACCCAGGAGTCTTGAAGATACCCAGGAGTCTTGAAGATACCCAAGAGTCTTGAAGATTCCCAGGGGTCTTGAAGACACCCAGGAGTCTTGAAGACACCCAGGGGGTCTTGAAGATACCCAGGGGGTCTTGAAGATACCCAGGGGGTCTTGAAGACACTCAGGGGTCTTGAAGACACCCAGGAGGTCTTGAAGACACTCAGGGGCCTTGAAGACACCCAGGGGGTCTTGATGATAACCAGGAGTCTTGAAAACACCCAGGGGGTCTTGAAGACACCCAGGGGGTCTTGAAGACACTCAGGGGTCTTGAAGACACCCAGGGGGGTCTTGAAGACACTCAGGGGTCTTGAAGACACCCAGGGGGTCTTGAAGACACCAGGGGGTCTTGAAGACACCCAGGGGGTCTTGAAGACACCCAAGGGGTCTTGAAGACACCCAGGGGGTCTTGAAGACACCCAGGGGGTCTTGAAGACACCCAGGGGGTCTTGAAGACACTCAGGGGTCTTGAAGACACCCAGGGGGTCTTGAAGACACCCAGGGGGTCTTGAAGACACCCAGGGGGTCTTGAAGACACCCAGGGGGTCTTGAAGACACCCAGGGGGTCTTGAAGACACCCAGGGGGTCTTGAAGACACCCAGGGGGTCTTGAAGACACCCAGGGGGTCTTGAAGACACCCAGGGGGTCTTGAAGACACCCAGGGGGTCTTGAAGACACCCAGGGGGTCTTGAAGACACCCAGGGGGTCTTGAAGACACCCAGGGGTCTTGAAGACACCCAGGGGGTCTTGAAGACACCCAGGGGGTATCTTGAAGACACCCAGGGGGTCTTGAAGACACCCAGGGGGTCTTGAAGACACCCAGGGGGTCTTGAAGACACCCAGGGGGTCTTGAAGACACCCAGGGGGTCTTGAAGACACCCAGGGGGTCTTGAAGACACTCAGGGGGTCTTGAAGACACCCAGGGGGTCTTGAAGACACCCAGGGGGTCTTGAAGACACTCAGGGGTCTTGAAGACACCCAGGGGTCTTGAAGACACCAGGGGTCTTGAAGACACCCAGGGGGTCTTGAAGATACCCAGGGGGTCTTGAAGACACCCAGGGGGTCTTGAAGATACCCAGGGGGTCTTGAAGACACCCAGGGGGTTTTGAAGACACCCAGGGGGTCTTGAAGATACCCAGGGGGTCTTGAAGACACCCAGGGGGTCTTGAAGACACCCAGGGGGTCTTGAAGACACCCAGGGGGTCTTGAAGACACCCAGGGGTCTGTACATAAATGTACTTTTCCACATCTTGTCGGTATCACCATAACATTTCTTACTGGGTCTTCTACCTAGGCGGGTTTTGTCCCATGATTTTTCATGCCCTGGATTAGTGAACGTCCTAGGGAGGGTTAGGCAAGGTTACTGTAGGTACAAAGCTTGTGTCAACATGAAGGTGACTCTCACAGCTTAGTCGCAAGGGAAACCTGGTAATATAAGTAGGAATTCAGTATAGCAAAAATGCTATTAAAATCTTATTGCAATCTTAGTGGGTTTGGGTTTGAGAAGGACTTGTCTAGTATGGGTCTTTAACTCTCCTGCAGTGATAATCTTGTTTTTCTCTTGTTATTAGACTACTTTCAATACTACTAGTGATGTTAGTGATGCTACTAAGTGAAGTGTAGCATTCCACTCTGTGACTCTCGTCTTACTACCACTCCTCTCCTTATTACCACCTCTGCCACTCTTCCAATATTTATACCACTACCACTACTACGGTAGTAGTAGTGGTAGTGGTGGTATTAGAGGTAGTACTACCTATACTTCTACAATTACACTACTACCTTTTTCGTTGTACTACACTGGCTTATATATATATATTATATATATATATATATATATATATATATATATATATATATATATATATATATATATATATATATATATATATATATATATATATATGTAATTTTGCACCAAAAGATTCTTAGAAAACTTACCTAACCTTATTATAACAATCTCAATTTATTTTAGCCTAATCCAACTAAACGTACATTAAATACGTTTACAATAATTTAATACTAACCAAACACAGTGAAATATATTTTTTTTTCGTTAGGTTCAGAATGATGTTTGCGAAATTATTGCATACACAAATTTTCACTTGTCCTATATGGCAAGAAAAGCGTTGCTATTTAAGCCAAGATCGCAAGTTTTACATATTCGGCACGACATATATATATATATATATATATATATATATATATAATATATATATATATATATATATATATAATATATATATATATATATATATATATATATATATATATAATATATATATATATATATAATACAAAAAGACACACAAGCAATAAAAACAAGGATAAACTTAACAAACAATAACATCAACGAACATAAACAGTGAGACAAATAAATACCATCATCACACATTAGTTAAAATACCCAACATAAATACCCAACATAAATACCCAACATAAATACCCAACATAAATGAAAAATCATGTTAATTTATTAATTTAAGAATACGCTTCTAAAACAGCACTGGTTGGTCCTGCCATGATACACACTAACACTGGTC